AATATACACATATATATATATATAGATACGTTTAATATACGCGAATATACATATGTATATATCGCGCCTAACGATCAAGACTATATATATATATATATAATATATAGTACATATATACATATATATAAATAAAAATGTGCTTATTGACGCGATCCACGTGCGGCTTCTTCCAGTGCGCGAACTTTAAGCTCGCGCTCACGCTGTTGTCTAAAAAATACCCTTCGTTAGTCCGGGTACTAGTGTTGCCTTAAGTCATAACATTATGCAAGAAGTCAGGCAAGCTGTGATAGTGATAGATTTCAAGGGACGAACCTTATATATTCCTCGTGATGAGCTATGATAGAATGCGGAGGAAATCGGTCACGCTCCATCATGAGATGCCGTTGTAGTTGTTCGTGATGCGCTGCCATATCCGCATAGGGTCTTCCTAGGAGTTCCGCCGGATGAAGCGCTAAGGCAGGATCGCGTGGCATTAAACCGGGACGAGGATAATTAGCGCCGGCCGCAGCTGTGGACGAACATCATCATGTGCGTTATTAAAAAAAAAAGAAAATGAATTCAAAAGAACATTACTAATTCGTATTGTTTAATTGTCGCGCGTACAATATTCATTTTGAAAGAGTACTCGTGCTTAGCAAAAGCATATTTCTCGTAATTTGTAAAGATAGAGAAAACCGCGCGCAGAATTTAACAATATAAACCCTTAAGCTACGTTCCCAAAGTGTTACTAGTCATCTTCAGGCACACGCACATGCACACTCGCGCCTATTCCTCGACAACACTCACTCGCACTTGCACCTGCGACGGTGATAAGCGACTAGCCAGAGATCAGAGTCGAGCAACTGGAAAATCGCAGGCGTGCTGACGATTAACGGTACGGGAAAAAAAGGATCGTCTTGACCTACACCTAGGCAAGTATAGGTAACATAGGACGATCAATGAGAAACACACGGGCTGCCGAACGACGAGGAATAAGCAAGAGCGGCGTTTTCTTAAAGGAGAAGCTCTTCAGGAAGCTTTAGAAGAAACATCCTGGTTGTATTAGGACCTACCCGGCAGAGGAAATCCAGCCGCAGCCGCAGCGGCTTCCTGCTGTTGCTGAGCCTGTTGCTGGGCCTGTTGCTGTCCCGGATGTAAGTGCAAGTGCGTATGCGCATGCGTATGCGCGTGAGTGTGAGCATGATATTCGGGCGAGATGCCAGCCATTTGCAATCGGACCATCGGGTCAGCGGCCAGAGCCAGCCGTTCTTCCAGCTGGCCGTGGTGATGAGCCGCCACGGGATGGCCAGCCGCTCCACCCGCTGGCCCCCCGCCGGCTGCAGTCGGAATCCCTAAACGCGACAGCGCTTCGATCACATAACTCGAAGATCACAGATACGATTCTCATGCCCGATTTCTTCATCTCCAGCTAACTCGGATAAAATTATCTGAGAGAGAGGAAGGAACCACTCCTTTCAAATGTATACCGCTAATTGTAATATAGAGAGCCAAGGTTAGCTATTATATGAACAGAGTTAACTGGCGCTGAAGAAATCGGCCATTAATTTTTAACAATTAGTCTACCTACGTCGCATCCCTCAAAGCTCTTGGCGCTCTTGATCTAATTATTCTTTTTCCCCGGCCTACCCGAGTTCTTTCTATTACATCAGCCTTTAGGCTATATTCTTAAGTCAATTCGAATTTTGAAAAGTACAAGTGATACGGTCGAACGAATATTAATCGACGAGTCTCTATCTCTACTGTCGAGATATCAAGTATTAGCTTTGTCAATAATTACCTAGCCGTTCGAGTCGTTCTCTCTCGAGTTGACTCGGACCTGGGGGAGCTCCGTAGAGGCCAAATTGGTGTAAGGCTTGAGGCGGTCCAGAAGGACCTGGTGCCAGACCGGCGGCAGCATATCGACGATGTATCTCCAGCCAGTGGGGATCGACTGGCGGCGCTGGCATCGGTCTGGGTGTACCCTTGAACAGCTCTTCCTTCAATCGATCGTTTAACTCTCTCTCGCGTAGCTCACGTATCTCGCGCTCCCTCTTCTCACGCTCTAGATGTTCCAATTCTAACCGCTGCGCCGCAGCTTCACGCCCGTAAATATAGTGCAGCATCGGGTCGGGTGGTGCCGGATGTCTGGCGGGGGAGAAAGCGGCGTGAGGCCTAGCGTATTCGGATAGTTGTCTGAGTGCTGGAGTATCTGCATAGGAACCAGGACGAGCGGCGTAACGATCATAAGGCGAAACGACAGGTTCGAGAGGACCACGGCTTGGCGGTTTACACGCCTCGGGCTGTTTCTCGGGCGTCGTCATCTTTCGGGCCTGTTGCGCCGCAGCGGCGGCGCGATCGCGTTCCTCTCGTTCCCGCTCCGCTTGCTTCCGCGAGCGCTCCTCGCGTTTCCGCGCAAGTTTCGAATCTGGTACGGGTTTGAACATCAGGTCGGTGCGTGTACACGAGTTATTTTCACCGCGATTCCAATGCCTCAGGAAAATCGCTGATTGCGATCGGTGGCACTCGGAATCCTCGATACGCGGCTCCGGCGATGGTCCACGTGGACTAATGGGCTCCTCCGGTTCCGGGTCCAAGTCTTGCTCGATCTTTGGCTCTTGAACAACCTGTGGTTGCTGCGATTGTGGTGGACGATGATGATGGTGTGCGGAACTGGATGACGTCAGGCACGTAGCTGAGACAAGCGACGATTTGCGTTGACTACTGTGTGAGCTATGCGACGAGGAATGGCTGTGGGAACTGTGAGAGGAGATAGTCAGCAGTTTATCGTGATGTAAATTGGTTGGCTGCTGATGCATACTGGATGAATGGTGATGACTCGCAATTAGGTTCTCGCCTTCCTCTCTGCTTGCGACGCTCGAGCTAGTGCTAGCATGATGCGCCGTCATCATGGTACTGCTGCTTTCTTGGCTACGCTGTGGCGAGGGTGGTGGAATGGCATGAGGTACCGGGCCGTAAGGATATGGCGTGAAGGACGGGTATCCTCCCACTGGAGCGTATCCTGGATAGGCGTGAGGATGATACGGATGCATGGCGGTGAATAGTGAATGATGCATCAGCGGATGATGTGGATGGAAGGGGTGTGCCATGTGCGGGCTCGGTTGCTGCGCGGGATGCATCACTGGTTGTGGGATTGAACTGGGTGGTGGTGGTAGACTCGGAGTTGGTGTTGGCGTAGCCGTCGGCGACGCCGCGACCGGCTGTATCGATGGTATCTGACTCGTCGGCGGTATAGAGTGTTTGCTTGGCGTCGGCGGTTTGCTTATGCCATCCGGATCCTTTTTGATGTTGTCCAGGCTCGGACCAGGGAAAGAGGAGCTTTGAAAGCCCGGTACCTTGACCTCTTTTAAACTTTGCAGAGGATCTGGTTCCGGTGGTATAATCTCCTGCTTGATCTTTAAATTCTGTGGCTCCATCGGTGGCGTTCCGGCTAGATTGTAGATACCCACGGGCTTTTCTATTGGCAACATTCCGCTGGGCTGTATTGGTTGGAACAAACTACTTGGCTCCGGTCGTTCCGGTTCGTTATTCTCATTCGTCCGTTCCGAAATGCGTTCTGATACCATGCGAGAATCGGGAACTCTATTATCTCGAGTCCGTTCGCTTACCGACAGTCTCTCGTCTGCCATCCTCTCGGCGTTTCTACTATCGGACGACATCACCGTCAAGCCAAGTGGCTGTGACGGCGGACTCGGCATTGACGACATCTGGCCGATTGGGCCACCGATACCGGCTGATACACTCTGTGAAATGTTGAGGTTCAATGGCGGTGGTCCCGTCATGTTCTGTGGCAACGTTTGCGCGGAACTTTGTAAACTCTCGGTCACATGACTACG